ATCGACGGTATCTAACCTTCTTCAGTTACTCCCTCCCCACTCCAGGGCAACATTATGGGAAAAGCTAGGAAGATGGTAGTCAGGATGGGAAAGGGGATCGATCTTTACGAGGAAATTCCGAAGGGGAGGGGGTTATATCTTGCGGAAATATTTCATAGCCTGACAGTTTTCCCTGATCACGGATGCTGAAGAATATGCTGCAACAATCAGCTCCGCCCACTGCGGAAAGCCCGTCCATACCCGGAAAATGCATCAGTTCAGCAAAGTTGAGACTCGACGTTGCTTGGAATAAATAAGGTAATGTGGCGGCACTCAGTTTACCTCAATGGGCATCAAATGGCGCCGGCGCTAAAAAACAAGAACTGTATGCGGACCCCATATAGACCCACTATACTGTGCATGGTGTGTATGTGCATCCCCGGCGAAGGGGGGGGGGGAGGCGCATTTGGTCGAATAGGCGGAAAAGACTCCCCTTCACTTTATTTTCGAGGTTCAATGTTTCGGAAGAAATTTCCCACAATCCATAATTTTACAGTTATGCACATTTTCATAATTTAAACAATACCGTGATATATTTGCGCTCTCGTGTTTCCAAATCAGTTTCGTCGTCCGAGATCGGTGGCCCAGAAGCGGTAAGGTCCATTTCCATTGGAATCTCATTGAGCGACGAGCATGAGCTCTCAGAGCCCTGAATTAGAGGAACTAGTCGAGTAATCTTTACCTTATGTCACGTCTATACTACTGCATCTATTACTCACTCTCCCTGCTCACTGCCTTCGCTAAAAAATGAACAAATGGTTTTTAAGTGATGAATAAGAGCTTCAGTTTCTGTACTTCACTGAGATGTCAGTCATTATTCGCTGTGAATGCAAATGGCAGCATTTCAAGAGTATCGCTTAGCAGAGAGCGCTTGCCAATTTTCATTTACACTGTTGTTATCTCTTTTCGCCGCATTCACACTAAAGCTGTTTCTTTATTGCAGTTTTCTTGCTTAGTAATGTTTAAACTTTACAAAGTATGTACTACAGCGCTTTACTCTTTACTATAGAGGGATCAGCAAAGCAATTACTTTTTTATGACAGTTTATCTACTGACAGATGTCCAAATTTACGAAGAGTAAAATAACTCACCATGTCAAATTTGTCCTCATTTTGGGCGTACATGCCAAATCCTTTGGATTATTGAAATTTATAGAAAATCATGGAGTTGTTGTTCGCCTTGAGTTCAGATCGATGCCGATAGCACGTAGTTCGTGGTAGAGTTTGACTATAGGCCGATGGCGTCAATTGACAGCTGTCCGTTGAGCATTTCCCATCGGTCAGGTGTAAGCGAAAAGAAATCACCACAGAAATGACATAATGATGTAACATTTCGATAAAATCTGCTTGACAACGTGGAATTTATAGGTAGTCCTTCGAAGAGTAGTGTTCTCAACCTAAATTGCTATGGTTTTCATCAGAAATTCCCATGCTCTCTACAGGAGTTCGGGCTAAACTAGTTTGTTCCTTTGTTGTGATAGTAATTCGAGTGCTTTCACTGTTTTCACTTCGCGTACTGCAACTGCAATGCCCACAGCTGTAATTGCAACCAGGGCACGTCGCACGGTGGGGACTCTCCAGCGGGGAGTCATATGTGGCTGCTCAAGGAAGGGGGAGGGGAAGTATCTGTTCCGAAAAATTTTTAGGCGGTTGATTTTCCTGTTCCACGCGAGCTATCCTTAGCTTTCGGAGACACGTGTTGCAGTGAGTGGGTCGTATTTGCTCGTAGGGAAAGGGGGGGGATCGTATCTGGCCTTAAAGACACATGGTACGATCCCTCATATTAGGTTGTTCGAAAAGTCCTGCGACACTTTGGACCAAATTTTTCGCACTAAATTTTCTGTCACTAAAAGACATCTCCAATCTACAAGGTAACCATAGTTGATGACTAGGACTAGTGCCCTTCTTTTGCACAGCTTCTCATTTCCATTCTCATAGAACTACGGCAACTATGATAAAAAGAAGAGGTGGACCTCATTCTCGAGTTGAGGTCGATTTTCGGAATTTTTGCTTTTAAAGGATGCGATAGGGACCAAAGGAGGTGGTAATTAGAGGCCGCTAACTTTGCTGAATAACCTGGGTACGGTCGCATTCTCTGATCAAAATTCATGATTTTTTGACGTGGCCTGATTCCCACATGCGGTCATTCGGTATGACTTGTCAGACGGGTCCAACTCATGAGGCATCCACATAGAATTTTTCCGATAACGAGATTGCGGAGAAGCACGGAAGTTGTCAGGCAGGTGGAGCCTAGAGAGGTTGCCAACTTACTGGTGGTTACCTTCGGCTGCGCCTCAAGAAGCTTGAGTAAAGGGTCGTCATTCTGTGCCTACACATTGCCTAACTACGAGTTAAATAAGTCCAGCCTGGAAGCGCTGATGCAAAAGCTACCCTCTTTCATGGCAAGCGATATCCTTCCTCAAGACAACGTAAGTGTTAGCTTCCTCGACTACGGCGGAGTTGCCCTACAGGAACTCATAATATGGGATAGGTCGAAAAGTACCTCGATCTCTGAGGGACTTTTAAGCTTTGAAAACTTCCACAAAGTCATGATATACCCATGTGCAGAAACCCCAGAGGACAGTCTCCACTAATCAGGGATAAAAACATCCAAAATGATTTTTGGTCTTTTTCTAGAACAATTCAATCAAAGTGTCGCAGGACTTTTCGAACAACCTAATACATCGGTTGGCTCACGGAAGTGATTGAATAGGCCACATCGCATTCAATAAGCCCCCACCATTCCAAATAGAAGTAAACGCCTGCCGCATAACTAAAAGGGATTGATCAACGGCTAAGACTTTAGTCTTCATCGTTCCATTAACTGGAAGACGAATATGCGATCTCCGCATAAAATGTGCATCATCACTGCCTTCCTAGAGCAAAAGTATTGGCATATCCACGAGTGACCAGTCTTTCCAGACACCGTGCAGGATTGTAGGGTAGGTGTACTCACGAAACGATCTCATTGGCACGCACTCCTCTTCCCACCTTCCTCACAGCAGTTGAAGGCAGAGAGCAGTAGTGCGTCAATGACGTCGTTTCCTCGCACCGTCCATGGAATTATGTCTTTCCACATATGGATCACTTAGTCATCCTTAATCTTCTTATGATTTCTACCACATTTTGTCTTTTCTTAAGAAGGCGGTATAGGATCAAGAAGGAGCTTACCTCCGTTCTCAGATTTTGTAGCCTTGATGGAAAGCAGTTCTTGATATCGATTGTTTAGCTTATCAAGTGAGGTCCGAAAATACTCAGCGTCAAGGGCAGCTGCACACCTGAAGTTTGAAATAATCAGTAGATTCCGATCAGACATACACTCGCTAAGCAATTTGAAGCACACGTAATCATTTATATTCTAGACCAGTTGGATC